TTTTCGCTGATAAACATCTTTTATTTTGGAACTAATTAGAAAACAGTATTTTTTGCTTCAGATTTTTCTCCAACGAAACAGCGGCTTTCATGGAAAAAAACAAGAGGTCACCCCTGCCAACCTTTATGATCGACTATTAGGACTGTCCTGTATCATCTCCGTTATGTTCGATGGACGAATCGCAGCAAAGAAGGAAATTAACCGCAGTTATCTAAGTCTTAAGATCCTTATTTCCCGTAACAAGGTAACGAAAGTCATCTAGTAAAAGAAAAAGATGGTACAAATCAGTGCGCTTGTGTTAGTTCCTTTTTTAATCCTAAGACCTTTTTTAAATCTGGTTAAGCGCTGCCTATCAAAAGGCCCCTTTGTCTAATAAACCTCGCGATTTCTCATTATTCCTGCAAAAACTGAATGAAGGTTTGGTGTAACAGTCGGCCAATTTGGGTGTTCTGAACGGGAATAGCCGCTGTTCATCGCTTTTTCTATTTCAATTTCCTTTAAGTACGGAAGTCTGATCCGCATTCTGATTTTGATAATCTGCCTGACTCGCCCTACTGGGTTTGTTCCGCAGTCGGTAACACTACTTAGTGACATCGATGTTCAATCTTGATGTGTTCACAAGAGTACTTAGGGACCAATGAATAGAAACATGTAGGATTCGGCTTACTCAATTATTTTACCATAAATCCTGATCGTCACAAAATTTCATGCCGCTGTTACCGCAGTTACCTACCAGAAGGTAACTTCGCCGAAAACCGTTTTTTCCAGCGCAGCGCGGAGAACAAACAACAGGAAGTTTTTCGATGTGACACTTGTGTGCTGAGCTTCAGCTCTTCGGAAAGGGCTGAATGGACAGTGGTAAGGTCAAATGACAACGACCCTTGATCAGCGAAAAGATACAAGCACGCATACACATTTATACGGACCTCTCGACCAAACAACAACAAAGAGCCTACCGAGAAAAGAGAAACATATCTCTAAGGGCATATTTCGTCTATCTTACAGTGGCAAGATTGCGCAAGCGTGTAGTTACTCTAGAAATTTTGCGAAATTTCTAGAAAAACCTGCGGTATTGTGCCTCTTTGTTACCTGTTCTGAGCACTCACATATATGCCTTAGGTGCCGCCGTTTCCTATTAGCAAACGACTCTGGGCTAACGATTCTGCCGTCTGGCGTACTACTGGCTCCCCGAAACTGTACTACTTAAATCTGGCCTATGCTTTTAATTTTCAGCCGGCGCCAAGATCGAAGCTAAACTCATGTTTCCGAGCTTCATTGGAATGACGAAGTCCGTGAGGCATTTAGAACGATTAGCGAACGAGTTCTAAAGGCCTGCGACGACAGACAGTTACTCCTGGTTATATAAGTGAAGGTGAAAAAAAGAACGTAATGCTCCGTAAAAATCTTACTAGCCGGAAAAGTTCAATTTCAATTCAAGAACCTGAATGCCTGGTTTGGAAACTATAATAAAGTACGCGGCGAATATCACCATTTCATTGAATATGGTGCATCCATAGCGTAGCGTTGCATCTATCATGGCATTTGCCTACTGAAGTTATCAGAATTGCAAAGTTAGAATAGATACATTTGTTGATCCAACAGCCACATAGCCATTCGTGCGCTAATGCAACATAAAGAGGAAAAGCAAATTGAGCGTCGTAAGACACGCATAGCGAAATAGAAGGATTACTAATTCGACCTCGTACGAGAACCTTTCAAAAAGCACTGTAGAAGCACTGCATAATAACTTAAAATGCTGCGGTTAAAAACTCTACGAAAGCGTATATACATTGAGGGATTCGTCCATGGATTAAAGTTATAGATTTACCACCGGACAATCACTGTGGGTAGCAGCCGTTGTTTGAATGACGAATAAAATAAAAACGACTGACCAAAACAATAAAACCCCTCAGATTTTCAACGCGCTTTGATGTACACCTGAGCTCTTGTCCACATAAATATAGCTGGAATTCAATCGTCAAGCGCTTCTTGTAGCTATCGTCCGAGGAACGGCTTTTCGATGAAGTCACAGTGCAACCTGTCATAAGTTTCACTCTGACAACACATCAGGCTTGCGGCTATCCCGTATGCACGTCATTAGTACTCGAGCTCTATAACACACTGTTTTTGAACTGGACGTAATTGCACGTTGACCGCCACAAAGTTAGAATTGTTCTTGGTAGCACGTTACAGTAGTAACATGGCAGGGTAAACAAAATATAAGTTACCCCTGGCGGTTAATTTATCCACTGTCATAGGCAACGTAAAACGCCTTTACCTACTTGCGTGATTATATAAAGCGTTTATTATAAAATTAACTAAGTGGGTTCCAGCATCCCCTACGAACAGAGAATAAAATATTGCTTGCTCTTGAAACACTCCCGAGGTATATACAGCACAATGCGTGCTGTTTCATGGCGATCTTTCGACAAAGAATATTTAGGACAGTTAATTATCTAATCAATAGTTGGAGGTTGTATTTATTCTTTAGTCACTTTGGGAGCCCATTTCGCTTTTCAGACTGAATTTTCGTAGTAGAAGTTATAAATTCGTCTGCCTCGTTGCCGTCCCCACGCTAACGTTCGTGCAATGAACATTTGGTAATGTTTTAGTTCAGTGTTTAATACGGGTAACGTTTCAGGCCATTGGAAACGTGGACCGCTTACAGGATAAGTGGAGAGTTAAACCTGCACCTGAATAAGGCAGGATCTCCCGGCCTCGGACGCTGATTCGGAGCTCTTAGACACACATCTATGTGGCATACTGCATATATACTTATTCACTTTGTAATAGCACAAATACTTCGTCGAAAAGTGACAGTTTTGTCGGACATAATCTGATCCTGCATTGTCTTTCGTATAAGACGTATAAGGAATATGCGATTTGTTTTTTCTCTTTTTTCTTAGTTTCGTTTAAAATCTTTTCGATCGCATCCGCCCGTTTACGTCCAGTCGACATTGTACTGAGCTGCCTAACGTTTGAGGGAACACTGCCATTTAGATCAGATAATGTTCACACACCTCTATGCAACGACACCTATCCGCGAATTCGATCTCGTCCGGCTGACACCTTCTCTATGACTCGCCATTTTTAATTCGCTCGTCTGCATTTGCACCCTACTCAATGTGGCGATCCCAAGTGACCCATAATATGGGGCCGATGATTGTTTTCCGTGTTCGTAGATCGATGCGTGTGGCGCATTATCGCTCATTGCACATGCGATTAACACGATCAGAGATAACTGCCCGAGTCTCTCTCTTGAAACCACAGATATATGTACACTTAGTACACAGAAATGTCCCTACAATTGTATAGTCGCAGATATTATTCGGTTTGTCGCCATCACGGTTATATCATTGAGTCACAAATACACATTGTGCTGAATAACTTTATGACCAAGCCAGGCCAAGCTGTCCGTGAGAAAAGCTTAGTTCCCGGTTCCATAAAAAGAGTTCCACAACGAGAAATTATACATTGATGAAATTGAATCGAGTACTCTTTGATAGACCGCGTCTTGATTTCAGCACTTGTGCCACGTTGATTATTTTGCGGTAATAGAAAAGAAGATTTATCCATGCTGTTTATTTGTCCCTCCCACGATGGCATTTACGGGCACCACCGTAACCGTAAGGACGTTACTCGAATACACAAACATGTTTATGTTGCCTCGTTTCTAAAGGCTTGATATTACCTTTAAGCATTACTCATATGAACAAAGCACTTCATTGGTAAACAGCAGTGAAATGAAACAGCAAGGTCTGAGGAGATTTAACTTCAATCTGGTATTTTGTTGTAGTAGTTAGTATTATATCCTACATGGTGATTTTTTAATTGAAAGTAATTAAGGCATCCGCCAGTTGCTTTTTCAAATTTAACAAAGCCATATGATTTCTAGTGTTCGACGAACTCAGGGTTCTTTTTTCAATGATGGTATAGCGCTTTGTTTAATGGGTATCAACTAGTTCTGAGTGAGTACTGGGTCTCGGTGCGCCAGAGACTGTCCATAGCTCAAATCCAACGTTGCAAACGACTAAAATTTGGCTTGATTGATATTATCCACAATGTTATTTTGTTTCTTTCTTCTTAAGTTGTACACAATTTTCTTAAATGTCTATCCTGTAATTGCGCCAGTTTCTGAAATCTTAAAGGGCGAACTTATTTGAGGTCGCTTTAGAAACTTACTGTTACTTGTTTTATTCAACTAGGTAATTGAAGACGTCCCAGTTTATTCTCTTAAACTGAGACGTCTTCAATTACCAAGAGATTTTCCTCTCTTACCATATTGTTCGTGAATGTTGGTCAGAGCTAACTGCCGGAAGCATCGTCTCACAGAAATGCGGATAGATCTTCTAAAACTTGATACATCATGTCTCGTACGGCTCTTTAACGCGCTTTCTCTGACGCTCAGTGGACCTCTGCAGGTCGTCACGTTGGGTAGCTATGATTGTCTTCAGCTTCTCTTTTTATAGCCAGTTGAATATGGCAGTGTAAAGAGCTAGATGGTTTTCTAATTGAGCCTGGTCTATATTCATGACTGCTTGGCTCCTACTGACCTAGTAAAGCTGCTCGAAAGCCGATTTGATCTTTCTGACCTAGTAAAGCTGCTCGAAAGCCGATTTGATCTTTTGGACCTCTTAGTTGAGTACCCTGCGTATCAATGGTACGTTGAAAATCAACGTACCATTGATCGCATTGCCTACCATAGTATTAAATGAGGAAAGCGAATCAAGTACGTCAAGTTCGCTCATTCACACGGTCTACAGTACGACAACGAACTCCAATGGATTTGGAACCCTTCTGCATTACCTTCTCTGTCTTATAGTAAACGCATCCTTCTTTTACATACTAGTTCACCTGTGTTAAACTACTTATGGCTCCTTTTAAATTTCACAGAACGCGTGTATAAAACATTGTTATATATCAAAACCCACACAGACGAAACTTATGCTTGTTCCTTAACACTACAACGACGATAGGTGGAATCGCATATATTGCTAAAATGTACGACGGACCGCTATTGCACAAAGCGGTTTCTTGCGGATATGCTACTGGATATTTTTAGCGCAAGCCACCTTGTTTGCTAATCACCTATTTCTGCACGAGTCTTCTAGCACCCAATCTGCATTCTTCGTTTATTTTGAACCACAATGGACGACCTTTGGCACTGATTACGATAAGTCGATTCCTGACGTTATGAACTCGGAAAATAGGAAGCATAACATCTTGAAGACTGGATATTTGCCCAGCGCCCATTGTCGTCATTACAAATAAAGCTTTATAATTGCAGAACTTATCTAGCATATAACGAACAATTCATACTGTTCTCAATTTCGTTTCAATGGCTGCCAATGAAGCTGGTAACTTTACGGCTCCCATTTGTCTAATTTTAGAGGTTGACTGAATTTCATGAGTTCATGCACCACTACATTGATGAGTTCAGTTGAAGTTGATTGATGTAGATCAATTTTCTGCACTCTGGATAGCGAGCCCGCTAATCTGACACACTGACAGTTACAGAAATCCAAGAGCTCTTCGGGCAACGCTCCAGGAGCACAATGCCTCCACGGTTCTAAGGACTCGTCGGATAGAAGTGTCTTCTCTCGGGTGCACTCGACAACACAATGCAAAAAGATTGGGCTTCGCCTTCCGATTCCTGTAGTCGAAAGCAAAGTCCATTGCCGTCCTGCAAGTTGCTCTTCTGGGGTCGCTTCGCATGCTGAACTGTTATGGCGACCTAACACGGAGAGGTCGTCCGTGCTGTGTCCTACTGGGACACAAAAGCTCTAGGAAGGCATCATACTTGGGTGATGTAAGTCATCAGGGTTCTTGTGAGACCAAGTCGCTGACTGGCCGGCCTGTCAAATGAGCCGATCGCTCTAACTCTTAGGGCCTTCCAGGTCGAAGATTGTAAATCTATGATGCCTGACGCTACTTAAATCACCTAGAAGTTATTACATTAGTTCTTTTTATTACAATAGAAATAGCAAACATAGTCAATTGAAAGCTTCGTACGTGTTTCACCTGGCCTAAGTGTTACAAAAACGTTATATGACATGTACGAATTCATAATTAAGTCTCCAGAGCCCAGCGTATCTCGCGTAGCCGCTAAGCGAACGCTTTTTGTTAAATTTAGTTAGATTTTGAAGGTCAATCTCGTACCTTGTGAAATAGGACTTACAATAAGCTGCCTCCACTCTACTGTGTAATGTACTTTCGTCTAGTTGTTTCGTTTATTTTGATACTACCTATCTATTATTTAATGGTATTTTTTTGTAGCTATATCCATAACGAGACTAAAGATTATATGTCTCATTAATAAGACTGTGCACATTAGAAGGGGCTGCAAAATGGTTACCTTTTTCCATAATTTATTGTGCGGATGTCTAATTTTAATTTTTGAATCTGTTATGTTAACCTAGTCACTTGTCATCCGCTTGTTACTCTGGGCCAGTGTCCCAGAATCCACTTACCTGCAACTACCTCTTTGGACAGTACGATTTTTGGGTTCTCTAGCACAAACAATATTATCGCCTGGCGGTAAACATCGCGACACCTTAAATGGAGCAGGTGCAGGTATTAGAGTAATTACACTTGCAAATGGGTTAAAGAGGTAGAGCACAACGGTCGAATAGTCAATGTCCGACGGACGGCATCCAGACACTAGTCATGCTCAGGACGAGGTCGGTTTCCTCGGACTGTAGATCAACATCGACTACACGTAGAAGATCTTCAATTGGCATGTAAAACGTTCCGATGTGCCGATTAGAAGTTCTGGACGAAAAGAGGCGCCTTTCGTACTTGTATAAATTCACTTTCACCACTGTGCTAGGCATCGCCCGTACACACCCTTGTTCACTTGTCACTTTAATAATTCTCGCCGAAAACCGGCTCCTAAATACCCGAAAGTCCTGCCACCAGTGTTCCTCTGCAGCATCTGTATCCCGCGTTATCGAAACGTGGTACTGCCCTGACTTGTGCTTTTTACTACGAAGTCCCAGTGTGTCGAAGACTAGAGTACCGCATAGCTCGAGAACTTCTCGTTGCGTCAAGGTGTTCAGCTCTTGGGTTTCTTCGGATATGCTATTGTTATCGTTGCAAAGTTGATTACATTTGTTACGCTCAGCAATAAGAAGCTGCAGATGTTTTTCTAGCTCCGACTTTGGTGGCCTGCAAATTCGGTTGTGCTTCCATGAGGAGTTCGTAAACTTAATTTCAAGCTTCACACGACTGATAAGTGTAGAGAAAAACGAAAGGACGGTGTTCGGTTCAACTTTTTGATCTAGATAACTCACAACTTGTCCTGATTCTTCGGAAGTACTTTCCTCCATTTCATTTCATAACCTGCTTTAGGTGACCGCGTTTCTCCTTGGATCTGCTTGGACTTCAATATTGGTCGTGTTACAAACAACAGAAAAGCTATCGTTGTTAAAGATCATAGTGGACTTCGTTCTTTATTCGAACTAGATTTCTGTTGTTTATTTCATACTTTTCCAGCATTTGTTGCACAATGGCTCGTACGCTTCGGGTAATTGTACCTTTAAGAAATAATAAGCTTTTAACTGTCACTTGATCAACTCGCGACTCTATGCTCAACTCGATGTCAGTCCTTTATTTTGGCACAACTTGTGTCCGGCATCAAAGACTCTGATATTTGAAAGTGCTATTGATTTTGCTGCGCCGCTAAAAAAGAACCTCCAACGCCAACATATGAGCGAATAGTGCTGATACATGTGAACGACCTTTCGATTAGTAGCAGAAATTGCTTAACAAATATGCCAAACTAGCTTCCACGTTGTTTTACCTCGATGTGTGTCAGTTATTGTTTAGGTCTAGTCATAACATGGCGTTCCCTGGTTATACACACTATCGAAAGTCGCGCCACTTCCTATACGTTCGATATATTGTGTGTCTTTTATCCCTATTAACTAAATCGTGTGAGCTTACTCAGAATGTTCTTCAAAATACTTTCAATGAGATTTTCTGTGTTTTTATTCTAGTCCCTGTTTACGACTGCGATTAGAATTCGTAATGTCATTTTCGAAGAAATTAACAGGTCTTAAACAAAAAGTGATCGTTTTTAAAAAAAATTGCCTGCAGCTATCGACAAGCGCGAATTACCCCGTCCGGTAACTGGTGGTTTGTTAAATAAAGAAAAAAAAAAAGCTTCTTGACTATGAGGGAAGCTCATAGATAGCAGACTGTCACGTGGTTTGCTGACGGTACGCCTCTTCTGCTACCAGCAGAAAGGTAGCCATCCGACAGGTTCTCGCTTTGGCAGGAGTTTTTCAGATGTAGTCAGCCTACTCTGTGCTAAGTCATAATACACTTTTGCAATAAGAAATATTGCCGGCATGTTTTTTGATATGCTTTTTCTTACCAAGATCAACGTGGGTTTTTCTTAGATATGTTAGTGAACGCCTTGAATCTCTATCCCGGCGGGAAGCAATTCGACATGGTCACAGATGATTCGGCAAAATTAGATATCGTGGTTGTACAGTTGCGGACCGTAGTTACGTATTTCTTCTGGTCTGGGAGCATTTGCTTAATGTACGGCACGCTTGTACTATTCGCAAATCCAGCATAGATCTCGCACTAGAACATCTTCTTGATGAGCCTCCAGATGGCGACGTCTGAATTCTAAACGACTTTCGCCTACTTGTTTACATTCTGAAGCAGAAACCAGCTCGTTTATATCAGTCTTACGTTCCCCATAGAGCGCTGTACCTGATCCAACAAGCTAGCCGTAAAATTCTCTGACGTGGCTCTCGGTTTACGTTCGTCTAGACCTAAACTAAGTTACGGATTCTCCCGCTCAATCATTTATCACTTTAGCTCTAAGTGAAAATGAGCTTCTACTGTATGTATCCCTGCTGCGGCTCATGAGATCTTAACACAGGAGTTGCTTCATTGTTTTCAGCTTGCAGTAATGAACGCACTCGATTCCAAGGGCCATCTGCAATCATCGATTTTTCAGTAGGTTTTAATCCTCTTCTGGGCCGTCTCCTCGAAGAAATTTGCAGCGTGACTCCGAGTCCCGCTAAGCAAACTAGTGACATCGCCGAACTGATCTTGTTTTATATCCCTAGATTGCGGTAAACTTTAGAATTACAATTTTTGGAAATACATAGTTTTCAGACATTTGTTTTAGGACAAACAGGAAACAGGAAAAAACAAGAATCGAACTTGCGGCTATTGTGAGGAAATACATTAATAATGACAACAATAAATAAATCTTCAGCTGCGAGTCTTGTAAAAATAAAGTTTTTATTCTATAAATAAAGAATCATATGCTTTATGGTTTCTAGTATAACCCCTTTACAATCAGTCTTGTTTATGTGGATGCCTTGAATGTTATCCTTAGTTGTTTTGTGGATAATTTACATGGATTAGTTTATTAACGTTATGTTACTATGTTTATATATATATAATATGTTAATAAAAACATTCTAATGCACACACTAGTGTACGTGCAAAATAGATTAGAAATATGACCGGTAGCATACGTTTTGCTTCTATATTATCTTTTTTTTTTGTGTAGAACTATAATATTTCTGCTCCAGTTTTCCGCGAAGGTGCCGCTTGCATGCAGAAGTGCATCGGAGAAGCGCTCAAGACCATTTAAAATATATTAGATCTGGAAAGTAAGAAAAACATCTTTCATTTATTTGATAGTGTAACCTTTTTAATTAGCTGAGCGAAATTCTAGAATATTGAGGGCCGTGTTCTACGGGTTGGCAATATGCTGAAGATCAGAAAACAGACGACTAATAGTTCACGTAATACGTACAGCTGCATCCAGACACGAAGAAAGAAAAAAGATCATACCTATACTGTAGTATTGATTTATACGGTACCATTATTCCGAGTATCGTTTAGATATATACTAGACAGGCCAGTGGACTTTGCCCTGCGCACCTGTATTGTCATCGCGCTTCAACTTGATGATACATCTGACCTTGCGTAGGCTATAGCATAGGTAGCAGCCCAATGCTATCCTGCTACAGTTATCGTTTTTCCATTCCGATGTCGTACTGTAATGCTCTGAGGATCATGCTGGCTTGCTTCGGCTACCTATTCTAAGGCTAGCAACCCTGGCCAGGGTTATACTCTATTTAATAGAAACTATGGTTTAGGTGGAGCACTATACCTGTATAGCCATTCCATTACCCCCTTTAAATTTGTGCTGCATTCAAATGTTTCGGGGTTTACGTACGTCACTGCCGTTAACTACTGCTTCAGGTGATTGGCTCTTCCTAGCACTAAACAATGTGTTTTTACAGCTTCAAGGTTGGTGGTAAGCTTCAAGGTACATTGGTTTTATATGCAAATTTAACCATCATACGGACCGTACTGCATGTACTTCGTTGTCCCGTGTCAATTATTTACTGACGGTTGTTTGATTCCTATGATTCAGTCAACCTTCGTTTCTCAGCAATCGCGTTTACTTCGTGTTCTCAGTTACAGTTACCCTGCAGTGATAGATCAGTAAATTTGTTATTTTGTTGCAGTTAACCCAATAAAAATGTCCCAACGGCCGCGTCTTCCCACTGAAGTATATCCCTAACTAGTTTGAATAACTAGTTTATTTCGACCTATACAAAGCCTAAAAAAGTTTCACCTGGCTTGTATATGTAAGAGAAACCCCCCAAGTTTGCGAGGCGTTAACACCTTATGTAACCCAAATTCTTGTAACCCATTTGAAAATCAACTATTAGTATGTTATCACACCATTGGTATATTACAACGATCATGTTCTAGAACCGTATTCGTTTTTATACTCTACCTTTCTTAGCATTTCAAATAGACCTGTAAAACTCTTTTTTACCATTCTTGCAAAAATCACCACCTTACGCCGGAATCGAGTAAATGTAAAAGTCCGATTTTTTAAAGTAGAATTTGTTGTCCCTATAGGATAAAGCTCAAAAAGGAGCCATATGTTCATTCAGCTTTTTCAACAGTACCCAGGTCCGAAAAAGTCGGCTAAGACCGGCAAGAATCAGCCTAGTCAAGATCTTCAACTAAGTGCCATAATTAACCAATCTCATAATAAAACTACATCAGCCCATGAAAAAACACATTTTTTGGGATAACACATGTATTGGCATGCTACATGCTGCTTATAATGCTCAGATAAATATTCGGCCATATTAGATTCTTATACATGTTCGCCTTAAGCACACCGAGTTAAATATATAAATAAATATAAAAAAATAAATATAAATAAAAAAATATAAATAAATACCTAGTATTATCGACAACATGTCAATTAATATTTTGTTTTTTTTTCTCTTCTAGAGAGAAATAGAGAATTATTTTTAGTAATATTTTCATTACAAGCTTCTGTTTGTCCTAGAAGAGAATTGCTACATAGCGGCTCTATCAAATAAACTAACTTGTTGATAGTAACATCATTGGTCAACATAGATACAGTGGTTAATCCATCCGGTCCTACCTGGTCGCAGAGGTGCTTGTTATAGCTGCTGACTGTCATCGATCCTGTTCCATATTCAGTAAATCTGTAACACCGAATAGATGATGAGAAGGCATAGTGCTGCATTCAGTTTAAGCAAACGTTGGGAGTTCTGCTATGGGAAATGAGATTCGGTATATGGCCATGAAGAGTTCACGCCCAGAGCCATAGATCGAGGCAAATGTATAATTTTGTCAAATCCGGACATCCGCTTGATGAGAGCCGCCTCGATAATAACTAGGCCAGCTCTATTTTTCGTTGCTTTCTGATTAGCGCTCGGACTATAAATCCTTAGGGAAATAATTGTACGACTATATTTAGCGGTTGGCGTTAACGTAACGTGATTGGGATAAAAGGTAACATTACAACGGCCACTCACAACGTTTTCAGTTACAAGCAGCAGTCGAAATATGTGACTGGACTAATATGACGTAAGTTGGGCTATAAAACGATTTTGTAAGTTGTGTCCTTTTGCTGTCCTAGGTATATGTCCAGTTCGCGTGTGAGTGTCGCCGTTAGATTCTGCGGCTTTAAAAGTTGTAACTATGTTAACATAATGGACGCAACAGGATAGTGCATACTAATGGAACTCTGTTCATTGAATTTTTCTGTTATAAGACGCTTTGCAGCGGAAATTGTTGACACCACGCTGAGAAAAAATATATACGAATTTTGAACAATATTAAACGTATTGCTTACCCTTCTATTTTGTACTTAAAGCTCACAGTTTTTACAATTGAAAACTTTTTGCCTTTAGTAGGCCATATACTCAACACTTTACACTGATATAATAGATAATAAAATGAAACCTAGATGACAGATTCTCTATGAACTATTTGCTTGAATTTGTCGGCTTGCCGAATTGTCTGTTAAAGACGTCATTACCGTTACGTGATACGACTAGAACTGACGGCCTTTCAGTGTCCAGCGAAGGCTCGTTAATTGTGGGTAACGCAGCGTGTTTTTGCATGGAATGGAACGTTAAGTCAGCGATCTGAACCTACGTACAACAGGCAAGGTACAAGTTTTCTATAAGCCACAGGTCAGCATGCTAGGCTAAGGCTGCGTAAATTTAAAGAGAAAGTGGTTTTTAATGATTGTTAGAACGCTGTCATCAGTGGGTATCAACGAACGTTGCGCTCTTAGTACTCTAGATTTCTTGGTCCTTTGAATTAACTAAGAAAACGTGAGTCATAAGTTCAGGTCGTCTAAAGCTTAAAACAGGGGTTTCGATCTCGCGCAGTTACACGAATAGGCAAAACCATGGTATACCTGCTGTACATATGCCTTTCCTTGCGTATTATTGCTAATACAACTGTGATTTAAATCCTACATGTCGACCGTTCATGGTTAGTAACGACCAGGCATAAGCACGAGGTTACTGTCTACGAGCAGTTTAGTATTGGCATTTGGCCAACTATTCCTCTCACTCAGATCGGACAGATTGGAGGCGCAACTGAAGGATGCATTACTAGAACGAATTTGCCTTGAAGGATATGTTCTTAAGTGTATACGCACCTAACTAGGGTATAGTGTTTTGTCTAAGGTGAAGTGTCAACGTTATATGCTATGAAAATGCAGCAGTCGCTTGCCGAGCTCTCGAAACACGTTCCTTACAGCTGTTCGAGGTGGCCACCAAGAACAAACACTACGAACCTCCAGAGTACAATGCCTCGTTGCCCTTGGTCCGCGCGAACGCAACTAAGGAAGAAAAAAAAAACCAAAAAGAGTCCTCTTAAAAGTATTATTAGCTAGCAAAACATGGCATTCTAACCATTCATCATAATCTTAGTATACAATTCCACCAACTCGAGGTCCCAACTACAAATAAATTAACAATTATTCGAAGGCTAAGGTAAAAGAACCAGTAGCTTATGAGTAAGTTGCGTCTCCTGCATAAGATTGACGTTTTTCTAATTTTGTTTACATCAATAAAGTACAAAATTTGTGGCTTTTATTTTTTATCCCAGTGTTTTCGCAGAAGTTGTGCTGGACTTTTGTGTCAAAAGAGAACTTTAGTAAATGTTTTATTATCCTGAGCCTTTCGATTTTTCTTTATTTATTTATTTTTTAGTCCTTGGTCCATTAAGTCTTGCTGGAACCTTTCCTCTCCAACAAAAGCTACAGAACTAGCATAATACCAAAATGCCATTATTGAGCAAAAAATAGGTCATTTACAGATGCTGATTTGTGTGTGCTATTTTCAATCCTTTTTGATAGTCTGTGTGCCATCATCAAAAAAAGCCAGTAACTCATCCACGCACTCTCAAGGATCACACGAATTACAACTAAATATATGTTTAGTGAGATTTTTTAAATTTAGTCATGTAAGGAAACTTACGAATCATCTGGCCATCTGTCAAACGAAGAAGCAATTTTCTTCTGCCAACTGTGCCGGTCTGCACTGTTCAATAAGAAACTTCAAAGGGGATGCCAATAAACATATCGGTATGACTCAGCAATAAGCTTTAAGTGAGCGCACTTAAGATAGTACAA